CAATCCTTCCTGTAGTAAGTAAACTTATGGAAATAATCTTTTCTCAAAACACCAATTTGGTTTCAGACCTTATATCATTCCACAACTACTACATTATTGGATTGTACGAACGAATGGTATACCAACATGGACCGTGGGCTGTATAACTTAGTTGTTTTGCTTGACCTAAAAAAAGCATTCGATACAGTCGACCACGAAATACTGTTAAGTAAGTTTGAAATGTATGGTTTCCAAAGGAAAGCATTAAATCTTTTACGTTGCTATTTGACGCACCGAACTCAAAGTTGTCAATTGGCCAGTATACTCTCGGTGGAGAAAGAAATCATTTGTGGCATTCCTCAGGGGAGTATACTCGGCCCTCTCTTATTTATTATGTATATAAATGATTTGCCAAGCTGCCTAGAACGCACAACTCCAAGAATGTTTGCTGATGATACTAACTTAACGGCAATAGGCAGAACAATTAGTGAGGCAGAAGAGAGGGCGAGCGTAGACATGAGGAATGTTCAGAAATGGCTTTGTGCAAATAAACGTCTAAATATAGCGAAAACCGAGTATGTTTTAATTGGAACACGACATAAAATAAATAATATTGATACCCATCAAGGAGTTAAAATAAATAATCAATTGATTAAAAAAGTTAAAAATACCAAAGCTTTTGGAGTTGAATTAGACGAAAACTTGAGTTGGGAAAAACACATTAACCATATTAGCAGTAAAAGATCATCGGGTATTGAGGCTATTAGGAAAATGAGGGAGTATGTCGAACAAGACATTTTGATAAAAGTTTATAATGCCTTAATCCAACCTTATTTTGATTATTGCTGTGAAGTATGGGATACACTTAATAAAGGCCTAAGCGAACGTCTACAGAAATTCCAAAACAGAGCGGCTAGGTTGATCATGAACTTAAAAAATGAACATGGTCAGTCGATTTTGGCACGAAAATCTCTAGGCTGGGAAACACTTGAAGAGCGTAGGGCACAAATGAAAGCCAGGCTCATGTACAAGACAGTTAATGGTTTAGCCCCCCAACGACTATGCGAAGCTTTCCAAAATCTGAATACCATTCATGACCATAATCTGAGAGGTTCTTCAACAAGGTTTTATATTCCAAGACCAAAAACGGAATCTGTAAAAAGCTATCTTCCTCGACCTTAATCTCGACTTAAAGTAGTAGTTAATTTTTTGTCTAAATAGGTATATAATTGTATTTGTTATGTATGTAATATTAGAGCTAGTATATAAATAATAATTTGTAAGTACACATCCCTTTTGGAAATCAGCTTTTGCTGAAAAGGCCAATGTGTTTAAATAAAGTTGATCTATCAAAGACGACGTGGATGTCGTCATTTGGCGCCAACAATCATCAGCTTCTGGTTTGCCACGTCATTTCACGACGCGAAAATGCAATTTTCACGTCCTCTCTAGAACGTCACAGATTTATGCTTCTTTTGAAAAAAATATAAGAGTATGCATGATAAAAATCACCCTATTTTGTTGAGATAATCTAATTGTCGCGGGTCGCGGGTATTTTACGCGGGTCGCGGGTATTTTTCGCGGTCGCGGGTTTTATTCACGGGTCGCGGTTTTTTTTTCGCGGGTCGCAGAATTTTTATTCCCGGGTCTAATTTCATGACATCTGTTTTGTCCGGGGGGAGGGGCGAAATCGTTTAAGGATAAATTGATGATTCCAGCTATAGACTAAATTTTGATCCAGACAGGAAGAACAAAATCCATCACTACAGCTAGAAAGAGCATCTTAAAGTTAGTGAAATTGCACAGTACCTAGCCTACGTCATAGACTCAAACTCGTTCCTCACAGTACCGGTCCTAGTAATAAATTTATGCCACAATAGTCCCTAAATGTTTGTTCAAAAGGTTTAGTGTGAAATATGATAGTGTGATGGCCTCGTCGGTTGTTGGCACAATGTATGCCTGTGAAAAAAAAATGTTATAGTAGATGAAACTGAGAATTAAAGATAAAATCACTATTGTATTCTGTGATTTATAATTAACAAGACGCTCTATGGAGCGTTAACTCGCTGGGGCTATACAAATACGCGCATTACTGTACATGATCACACATGATACATGCAGTTGCTATTTCAATTAAGATTTAAGGTTTTCCCCGAGCTAAGTGGAAAAGTCGAAAACGAGCGCGAAAGGCCTAACACAGTACTAAAATGCGGTAGGCCCTACCCCTACAAGTAAAGTTATATTTAGTACCGCCCTTCTTCAAGACTGTCAGCCGCCAGTTGGTCCGTACGCTAGGATTAAACTGCGCTTTAAAACGTTCAAAATAAAATATTTTTGGGCTCAAAATACTATCAAACTGAAGAGAGAAGTGAGACGAACCCACTGGTATACGACCGAAAAAGAGAAAACCAATGATACCAAAGTTATCAAGGATCAAACGTACTGCATTTTTTTAAAATTAGGGATCGGTCATTATTTATGGAAGGGGGGAGGGAAAAAATGAGGGTGGGGCATATGTATAATTAAATGACTGGAAGGGGGGCTATTAAATTTTTTCAAGAAAATGAGGGGGGTTTGCAATTAAATTTGAAGGAATTTGCTTAATAAGCATGGTATCCATTTGGTTGTAATTGCGACTAAATTATGGTCACTGATGTGAAATAGTCTGGATTTATCTTGTCTTGTGTGTGCTGTATGCAAATCAGTCTTTACTGATTGCAGAGATAAATTAACAATGTATTATTACATCAGCTATCTTGATGTGGTTAAAAACATTTAAGCAAGGTTAACGGCGAATGTATTATGCAGACCACATCCACTGAGGGGAGTCTGTGACGTCAGATCAATTAAAGGGGTTGTTTCGCGCCTTGTGATCTGGGTATCCATTCTGCCATTGTATGCTTTGCCTAGCTGCAGCAAGTTTAGCGCTTAGATACCTTTTCCCTACCCACCCACCCATGCTTATTCTAGAGAATTTTATCTGGTAGTATGTCATTTTATTTTATATAATTTTTAATCTCACATAATCAACAACATCTATTGCTAATTATTTTAAATCTAACTTGAAGCATGCAAATTAACATCAAGTGATCCTGCCATTGTTTCCATCTACCTAAAATAATTTTCTTGTAATTATTTCTGTTTGTGTGAGCACGGCCGGTTGGAAGATCATCTTTTTTTTTTCTTTTTATATCTTGTACATAATTAATTTTAGTATAGGTGAAATTGTACAGTGTTGAAATATAGTTCATAATAATAATAATAATAATAATAATGGAAACTTTATTTATTGATTATTAGGATATATACAACTACAATGATAAACCTCGCTTTACAAGTAGTTTATCAATGTCTACTTGAATTGATACTATATATTTATTGTACAATAATTATTTTAAGAAGGATTATATTAACATTAATTTTGGGTTATCCCACACCTTGTTTCGTTTACAAAATACGTAATATGATGTTCGTATGCATATGTTCACGATTTGCTTTTTTATGTATTTACTATACTTGGCATCACATTTAAGGCTACTTAGCATGCCATCGAAATTTTTACAAGATCGGCCAAAAACTCCGAGGGTACTCAAGGATAAATTAGACCATGGGCCGACCGCAAGAAATGTGAATTTTTCATGCGCCCATCGAGGAACCAAATAATTTTTTAAATAACGCGTTGCCTGCATACTAAACATGAAAATTAGCCGGTATGTCAATCTCTGGACTTGCACATTGAGCAGAAATTCGGCTTTATTTGTTCGAATAATTTTGTCGGCCTTGAAGTGAAATCAACACCATGTTTTTAAGTAGCGGCCAATCAGGAAGCAAGGAATTTAACACCTGGCCAATCACGGGTTGTTATCGAAAGCTTCTTTGTCTCTTGTAAACAATGGCGGCTGATGCAAATCGGTCGTCGAAGAGAAGAGATTTTTGTGCAATGCATGTCGTCATTAACAGTGCGGAGCAAAAGCTTACTTCATTTACATATACGTCATGGTGTAAGTTTGTATCATTCGCGGTGAAATGGAGAAAATTACAATGTAAAGAGGGTGAAATAGCGATCGAAGCGGCGGCGAATCTGGGCTTGAGATTCGATGACTTGCCATCAGGTGTTGACTTTGTCGAAACCAACAGTTCGTCAGACGGTTTTTACCCATACCAGCCTATTGCAAGTTCCATCGAGATTGCTACAACCGATTTTGCAATACTCTGATGCTTGGCAGAGAAGAAAAGAGGCAATATATTCGAGACGAACAAGCTGGCGAAACAGGTTAGTATAGCAGTCCATTTTGAAACCTTATACACTTAATATTTATAAGCTAATTTTTACCTCGGACCGTAGTAAAACTACTGTATGAGCAAATGTGAGTTTTCTTTGCTATAATATAATCAAGTAATGTGCTGTATAGAAGGGCAAGGAGGGTTTTAGAGTATTTATTACAGAAGTAACATCTCGAATGATTGGTGCCAGTTTTATAGGTAGAATCTTCGATAAAATGTCTGTGTGAATGTATAGACTACCTGTAAAATATAGAGAAAACTTAGACGTTTTGAGCGAAGGTTCTTCGTCGGGAAGTTAGTATATTTTCCAGTAGTCTATCACATTCACACAGAAGTTTTATTTACATAAGTTGTCAGTTAGCAAGGCTTCAAAGGTCTTGCTTGGAGTGTCATTTAAAGTTTGTTTTATTTTTTGAGATGAGAGACAAAAAATATCTCCCTTTCAGACTACTTGAAATATGTAATTCCCAACTTGACCAGTTAATGTGCTTGACTTTTCCCTTGACAAAGAAAATTGGAAATTGTATGGCTTGTTATGCACTAGCCAATAGAATTGAAACTGCCACCCCTGGTTCTGGGAAATAGTGGGGGTTTGCAAGCAAATGGCATCAAAAATACTTTAAGCAAATGGCATCGAAACACCCAGGCCTTGGGAGACACTTTTGGGACTATCTACAGTCCTCGGTGAATGCTTGTGAGTCAAACCATTGTATTTTTACCTCAAATTTTGTATTTTGGTGACTGCTAGCTCCACGAGGAGTAAAATTGTGAGGCGTTAGACAAAGCAAGTACTAAAGTAGGGGGCATTGCGTGTTAAAGGGTTTTATTAAGCCAGTTCATTAGGCATTGTAAAAATGTCTGGTGTTAGGTAGGCTAAATTGGAAAAGTAGGGATGTTTGCCTGATTAAAGACTATGCATTATTTCTTCTATTATCTACCTCAACGATGTCAGGTCTTCAGCTTTTAGACTCGATATCCTGCCAAGCACAAATAGATATCCAGCTGTAGTTTGGTTGACAATATTTAACAATTAGGGAGAATTACAGACCAGGAAATAGTTCTAGCCTTTTTTGGATCCTAAGCCAGGGGAGATATTTCTTTGAAAACACTGTTATCAAATTTAGGCTGGGGGGGGGGGGCATTTTGTTTGAAAACACTGTCATAAAATTTAGTTGGTTTAACAGCACTTAAATTTTGACTCTTACAGCTGTTAGGCATTAACTGTGCTTCACGGCCTTCACTGTTAACGAAATCTATTCGATTAATCAATAAATTGGTTAAATAATATTAATTAATTCTATATTACTAATGTTAGCAACTAAGGTCTTAGCATATCAAATTAAATTGTAATAAATGCTTATATAGTGTAATAGCTTATTACGATTGTAGTTATAAGTTATAAGAGTTTATTACTACCTAATTTGACATAGTTTTTTACTACCTAATTTGACATTTGCAAGTTGTGTGATAAAGAAATTTAAATTTCAAGGAATATTTTTATGTATGCTCAAGTGAAAAAAACTTCTTTTTGACCGATTTGTGCATCAGGTGATATCACTTATATCATAGTCAGCATTTTCAGAACCAAGAAAATTTGGGAAATTTTTAACCTTTTTTTTATTTTTATGGATAATTATTTTTAAAGAAATTTCAAAACTTTCTGCCAAAGAAAATTGAAAATCCTTTCTAACAATCAAAAAATTTTCTAGGAACATCGTTCCCAGGATCCACCACTATTTCCAGGTCTGGAGAATTAAATTAGATTGGAGAGAATTGGAAAAAAGTTTAAAAATAATTTGATAATTTATTAAATAAGCCCAAAGTTCCTTAACCACAAAATCTAACAATGTCTCTAGTTTTAATGACTAATTGAGTCGCAATTTGCCCTAGTTATTTTTTTACTTGTCTAATGCCAGATGATTTTATTTGTCAATGGGGAAGCTCTGCAGCTTAATGGGTTAATTTAATAAAAAATATGCAATTACAGTATATGTATTAACCACATAAGTGGTGATGTGGAGGAAGACTGTTCAACCAGTAAATATAGGCGCCTAAGTCGTTCGCAAACATCTATAGGAGAGCCCGAAAAAGGACGGGAACAAGTTTTGCCCCACGTATGTATCATTTGCAAGAAAGTAAAATACAAAGTGGATCAGGAGAAGAAGAGAAATGTTGAGAGACTCAAAAAAGTGGAAACACTTACAGCTGGCAAGCTTCTTGAAGCAGCTCGTCTTAAAGAAAGACAGGATATTCTTGTTCATTTGGAAGGAACAGGAAGAGATTTGCCTGCATTGGAACCTCGGTATCACCACAGTTGCTACATGGATTTGACAAGATTTCTTTCCAAGCCAGAGAAAAATCTTGAAGAAGTGAGTCATCACTACATGAAGGCATATGAGAAGTTTTGCGAAACTGTTGTCGTCCCACAGATTCTGAAGGGGAAGCATATTTTGTTGTTGAAGTCATTGACAGAATCCTTTGTGAAGATGGTAAAGGAAGTTGAAGATATTGATACACAGTATCGCTCCTCCAACCTAAAGAAGAGGTTAAGTAATACATATCCTCAATTACAGTTCACCTATGATACTAGAATGGGATATATTGTTTACTCAGGGGCCATTAGTTCTGCAGATCTAGTTAAAGATCACGTTGGACAAATGTCTACACATCACAGCAGTGAAGACGATGAACCCGACGAACCTGGTGAACAATCACAACTCCATATGCACCCATGCAACCAAGATGACATGCGAACAACCTATTTTTCTTCAAAGATAGTCAAGAATGCAATTCAAGAGTCAGTATCAAAGTTCGAATGTCCATGGCCGCCCACTGCAGAAAACCTCAATACTGATTCCGCTAGGAAGCTGGTGCCACATGAACTGTTCAACTGGATTGCATGGACAACTGGTATCAGTGAAGAACCTGCTGTTGGCGAATATGTAAAAGTAGCCGAGAATGAAGAAAAGAAAATATTGTCAATTGCACAAGACATCATTTTTCTCAAGGCAAAAGGAAGAGTAATTACCCCGAAGCATCGAGCTCTATCAATGACAATCCGGCACATGACAGGATCTTCGCAACTCATCCAGATTATAAATGGTTTCGGGCACAGCGCCTCGCATAGTTCCACGTTAGAACACGATACTGCTTTGGCCCAGCGTCAGTTATCCCTTGGAGAACTAGCCGTTCCTAAAGGAATTAAAGTTGGCCAGTTTACAACCCTCGTTTGGGATAACATTGACTTTGGTGAGGAAACGTTGTCTGGAAAAGGCACCACTCACAGTACAAATGGTATCATTATCCAACGGGTTGACAAGAGTGGCACTGAAATGCAAGAATATGCGCCAACACTGTCAGTCAAGAAAACCAAACAGAGGTCAATCAAAGTTCCGTCAGTAAGATTAGAGCCATACTTTGGAACATCGCGAGATAAAGACGGGCCTGCTTGCATCGGTGAAGGTTTCGATATGAAAGGGGATACCCATTCTGCTGCTCAAGTAAAACCCCGAAATCTTGACCAAGCTTTCGTGATGACAAGAATGCCAACAACAGACGACACAGGTGCAGGAATTCCTAGTTGGACAGGTTTCAACACATCACTTCAATCAAAAATCCTTGCATTATCCACAGTTGGGTATCTTCCTGCCATTGACGCAAGTCCAACCGAGATGGAAACTGTGAAAACCATCCTAACTCGCAGCATAAAGTATGCAGATGTTCTCCATTTGGGAGTTGTCGTGCTTGTGTTTGATGAAGCTATCTATGCTAAAGCCCAGAAGATAATATGGGAAGATGATACTGAAGATTGGAAGAAACGACTTGTTGTAAGGCTTGGTGGTTTCCATACAAAGATGTCGTACTTAGCGTGCATTGGGATACGTTACAAAGATGCTGGCTTGGCTGATATAATTATAGAATCAGGATTGGTGGCGAGTGGATCAGTGAAAGGAGTGATGAACGGGCCCCATTACAACCGAGCCTTTCGAACGCATAAGATCGTGAGTGAAGCAATGCAGCGTTTGAGATTTCAACAGTTTCTTGACAGTCTTTCGGAAGAAGATTCGCAAGCTATTTCTAATATAATTACAAAATTACAAGCTGCATACCCATCATCAGAGTATGGCAAAATCGTTGAGGGTCACGAGTTTATAAAGGTGATGTCGATGTATGATGATTTTATTAGCGCCGAAAGTCTAATGAACAGTAATTTCGCATTTTGGTCGTCGTATATTGAAATGGTTCAACTGCTTTTGTTGTTCACAAGAGCAACGCGCGAAGGAAACTGGCAGTTACACCTGTCTGCTGTACGAAGCATGCTTCCTTGGTACTTTGCATATAATAGGACAAATTATTGTCGATATTTGTCTGCATACTATGTTGAAATGCTTGATCTTCCAAAAACCCATCCCGATGTGCATGAAAGTTTTTTGGAGGGGGAATTTTGCGTACAAAGACAAGAGACTCATGGTTTTGCCCAAGTCGAATGTGACATTACCATCGAGCAAACCTTTAACCGTGATTCCAAGACTAAAGGTGGTTTAACTGGATTTACCCAAAACAAAGCAGCCGTACACCGATGGATTCTGTCTCAACCAGCTAGAGCATTTATAACAAAGGAGTGCAAATCAATGGCTGGCCAAAACCAAGAGGCTCGGATTAGAAGAGAACTTGATAAGTCAAGAATAACTCGAGATGAACAAGATGTGCAGAATGTATTATCTACAATTACCAGCATGGTAAATCCGTTCATTGGTGATGAATCATCGCTACTTCAGCTATCTTCCGGCGTTGTTGCGGAACAGGCCGTTGCTTCCGATCTTTTGAATGCAAAAGATGAAGGTGAAAAGCTTTTTCTGCAATTTGTCTCGACCAGAGTGCAGAGTAATTCTGTGAAGTTTTCTGAGACACTTAAAAAACGAAATGTTCTCACCTTTGGCACAGTTCGAAAGAAGAAGGTAACTAAGGCGGCTGGGCGCGAAATCACTATGAAAGCAGGCAATAAGCTTTTTGCTCGACTTCTTTTGGTGGGAAATGTACGTAAGATTCAGCTGAGAGAGATGTTGAAATACAACTTAGGGCCAGTTCCACTAGCAATATCAAGTCTTCAAGGGACGCTGGTAAAGACCAACAAGGCAACTCTTCTTCATTACATCGAAGGAGCGGTAGAAAATCCTTTGGTTGACGTTGTTCCTGAAGGTAGCGTGTGGGTTGTTGATGGAATGGTGATGTTTCAGCAGCTTCGGAACCGAGATATACCAGAGAAATTTGGAGATTTTGCTATTTTTCTTCTGACCCGAATAATTCGTCTAGCTAAACAACATCATAGCAATGAGATACATTTTGTGACCGATCGTTATCCTGAAATGAGCATTAAAAATGCTGAACGAGGTAAAAGAGCAGCTACTGGAAGTGAAAGAATAAACATCTACGGAAGAGGACAGCCTGTTCCTAAGCAGTGGCGCAAGTATCTAGCAGACAGCAAGAACAAAGAATTCCTGGTCGAATTTTTGTTTGAAGAATGGTCAAAGTGTCCTGTTGCATTGTACAAAGGGGTAACATTATTTGTGGCTCACGGAGAAACATGTCATGCTTTACACGGCGAAGGTAATGAAATTGATATGGTTCCTATACCAAGTTTACGATGCGACCATGAAGAAGCAGATACAAGGATGCTTTTACATGCCCACTATGCTGCAAGACATTCGGCAGTTGTTGTCATTAAGAGTGTAGACACAGATGTTTTTATTATTAGTCTTGGTATGAGCAAGCAATTTTCCTCTCGACCGCTGTTTCACACCGGAACAGGGACAAAAGTGCGAACCATTGATTTGCAAGCTATTCGCAGTCAGATTGGTGACGATATCACACATGCATTAATTGGTTTGCATGCAATTACTGGATGTGACTCGGTCAGTGGTTTTTATGGTAAAGGAAAGGTAAAGGCTGCCAAGTTGCTCTTTAAAGAACAGGCTTACCAGCAATCATTAGGAGAACTTGGCATGCAACACGAGGTGTCTGAGGATCTATGTGCGAGGTTGGATTCTTTTGTGTGCCATCTGTACGGTCAAAGCGCATGTGCCGATGTGAATGACGCAAGGTTCGTATTCGTATAATTATAGTTTGTAGAATTTGTGTATAATGTAAATGTATGTTATGTGTATATTTTGATAAGATTATCATTATTATCATTATTATTATTATTAAAGGTTTAACTTATTCCGCCTGGAAAAGCATTCTGAAGAATTGTTGCCCCCGACAAACGACTCGCTTGGGAAGCATATTTTACGTGTGAACTACCAGGCTGCTGTATGGAGACGAAGCTTAGAACAAGCGCAGGATTTACCAGGACTAGTTGGAAATGGTTGGCAGCTATCAGATGATGGTGCTCTGGAAATCCACTGGTGTGATTTACCTTGTGCTCCGGAGAGTGTCCTGATGACAGTTCAATGTTCATGCAAAACTGGTGGATGTGGATCGGGTACAGGTATGAGTGCAATTGAAAAGTTTGATTGATTAGCATCGCCTGAGCAATGTTTTAGTCGGAATTTTAGCTCAGCTACCTTTAGTATACCGCACATTTTCGGTGACGATTAATGTGTTCTATACTTTATCTATCGTGATAACTTAATGCTTCAAAATTCCCGGTACCAAAATGAGAACGGAAGTGAAGAATTCGATATCGGTATTGGTATCGGAAGTCGAACTTAAACTCTCTAATTTTTAACTACAGGAAGACGAAGCAGCGCTGCATGTGGATGCATGAAAGACAACTTGCCATGCACAACGATGTGTCAATGCCAAGGTTGCACAAACAACCAAGAACAAGATCTACCTGAAGACGAAATCGACGACAGTGGCTCAGAACAAGAGGACGATGAATTGATGATGGACGACGAGTAAAACTCTGACTTTGAAAACATAATTTGCATACTGTATAATTTTCACTCTAGTGGAGCAGAGCCAACTAATTGATTAGGCTAGTTATATCGCTGTATAGGGAGGGACAGTAGTGCCACTTACGTCGATCCTTTGAAGTTTCTGTCCTTGCGCATATCGCATTACGCATGCTGCTCAGCGAGTAAACTGCATGTTCTGTCCAATAAGCACGCTGAACTGGCTGGTCCAAGCCAGCAAACTGCATATTTTTGAATAAAAATACGAGGACACGTTGTACCGCTAAGTGGCACTAGTGTCCCTCGCTTTACTATGATGATATCTTTTAAGAATAATAATTAAATAGATTGTGCGGGGGGAGGAGAGGGGGTTACTATGATTACTTTCATCCTAGATCTGGGAATGAACCTGATCATTAGTCTTCGTAAGATTTTTATATAAGGTCATATGGCCGAGCATTATGATATGCCATGTAATATAATTTCGCTTTTCGCGACTAGGATCTTTTTTAAAGATGCTGTAAAGTCCGTAATGTAAACAAACGCTTTGTTTACATTTTGAACTTCTATACTGTATTTGTAAAATATGATATACTAACTGAATATCTAATACTTTTGTGGTTCGCTATGCTTGTAAATGAATATAAACTAGACGTTTCAATAGACCTTTCCCTTTTTGAGTGAAATTTTGATCTAGACAAGTCTGGACAAAAATTTCATTACAGCTTGAAAGAGCATCACTAAATTAGTAATACTCCGAAGTTTCGTTGCGAAATGTTGTAAAATGCGGATAATATAGCCTTGCGAAGTTTGCCGTTTTTCAGTCATTTTGCATTACAAACGGGAAATTGATAATCAGATGATAAAACTGATTATCAATTTCCCGCGTTTGTAATACCAAATGATTGAAAAACGGCAAACTTCGCAAGGCTATATTATCCGCATTTTACAACATTTCGCAACGAAACTTCGGAATATTACTAATTTTGTGATGCTCTTTCAAGCTGTGATGCAATTTTTGTCCAGGCTTGTCTAGATCAGAATTTCACTCATGAGGGGAAAGGTCTATTCCAAAAAGTTCGAAAGATGCAAAATTTGGACAATGTTTATATCTGCACACCCCCCCCCCCCTGTTATGAGCAGAACTGATGCGCAGAACGGACTTTACAACATCTTTAAGCGTATGGACGTCTATAAATGGTGAAAGAAAGCATTTATGCCTCACGCTTACGTAGTAATATTATATTAACCGTGATTATTAGTGAGATTTATGGTAGAATTTTTAGTGGTTCTAACATGAAGTAGCCTCATTGTAAACAAAAATTATTGCAAGCTCAGCAATTTTTCAAATTCCAATATGGCCGCCGTTGTTTGTGAAGAGGGGTGCACAAAATGTCGATTTTTGTCTTAATGTGCACATCTCCGATTTGACATACATCTGGAAATTAATCATCTATACTTCAGGTACGTGTCTTAAAAAAAACAGCTGGTTCCTCGATATGCGCATACCCATTTACTTTTTCGATGACTTTTTGGCGGTCGGCCCATGGTCTATTTCTGTTAGTGTTTATATGTATTGATCTAGCACAGTGTAAATAACATGAGTTCCATTATAGTAAATAATACAGAAAGAAATTGAAGGAAAACAATTAAAGCAAGCTTGCATTTTCGGTTCAGTTTTGAACCGAGATTTTCCGAAGTTGACAAGTCTCTCTTTCTCGCTCCGCCTCTCTGTGCTACGTCATGTAATGTACACTATAGTGGAACGATATAACAATGAAAGAGAGACTTGGAGCAAGTCTAAGGGAGGGGAGGGGAGGGATTTATTCTGAGTAAAATATGCAAATTTAAATGAACCAATGGGATGGTTTTTTCAACAGAATCTCGTTGCTATGGTGGTTGCTAAGGACCAAAACTACAAACAATGATATACTTTTCAATATTTTCCCGTTTTCTTCAAGCAAATAAAAAAAAATAACGCCGTGAAATGAAAAAGCAATGATCAATGATGTATAATATGGTTGTTTCGAAAATTTAACTTTTTCACAAAATTATTGTCCCAGACCACCTTATTAATTAGCAGTTTCTGTTGAAAAATTGGTCATTAGTCATTGGCAAAAAATTGGTCATTAGCCTTAGCCGTTTAGCCTAAGATAATGCAAAATTGTGAGCTAGGTGTCGAATCACTTATGGGATCCGCGGTTTAGGTATTTGGAAGGATCCGCGGTTTAGGTATTGAATTAAAAAGAAAATTAAAACCATCTATATGCCTATGGAATATATAGGGTATTCCCGGCCCAAAATGTCCTTATATTAGTTTGTGGAACTACGATGCAACAGCAGTAGATCTGAAACAGGTTTCAGCATCCAGGAATAGAAATAAAAAATCTTCGCTAATAACGTCTGATACTTTAGGTACGAACCCAAAATCTAGCGTTAAAGAAAGAACAATTTGAAGTGACGACACCACTGAATCACTGACGACAGCGATATTTCAAATTCCAACTGATCCAGTTATCCTTGAAAATATAAAATTAGGTAAGAATTCACGAGGATTAATAGTAAAATATTTTACGTTTGGTAAAATTTCGTCAATTTTGGAAAAATTTATTAAATGAGATTTTTTAGTAAAATTTTGGTAAATGTTTTAGAGAGTTTGATAATTCAGTAATGTTTTATTTTTTTGTAAAAATTCGTGTTTGAATGTTATCTTGTGTAATATAGATGCTACTAGTAATAAAAGTTCAATGTAATTTTCCCGATTCCCGCTACTAACCTCCCAACAAGTGCCGGTCTTTGCTCGAAGATAGTCTATGGAACATGGTATAAAATGACATACTATCAATATGTGAAATGTAATATCCTGGGGCACCTTTGGAGGGGAGGTTACAGTATGTTGGATAGAGGGTTATTTGAAAGTTTGAGAGGGACGTATTTGAAGAGGGGCCTTATTTGAATATTTTCCATGAAATGGTATATGGAAAAACACTTGCCTAGCTGTAGTCACTGGGATATATTTAAAAACTACACTGTATATTGAAATTTGGTTTACCCACGATATGAAGAATTCCTACAAATTACTGTAGACCATCAAAAACACAATATAACTTATATTATAAATACAAAATAATCTTATGTGCACATTATTGTTCATTACATAATTGTTCCTCTTGGTAAATGGTGGGCAATGAGATCAGTTTTGAGGCATGCTTGATAACTTGGCATTCACCAGCCTAGACCTAGGCCTTCTATTTTTTATTATTTTTTAATATTCAGCGCTTTTTCACATGAGAAGACTGGGACTAGGTGATCAAATGGCCATTGCGATAATTACCAAATGCTAGCCCAAAATTGACAAAACCTGCCAAAGATACCCGCTAAAGCCAGCCGAGTAAAGGCCTAGGTCTAGGCTGGGCAGTCACCAAATCCAGACAACAAGTCAATTGAAGTTAAAATAGGTACTTGTTACCTGATTGCCATACCACCTACATCGCGTGCGAAAATAATGAGACGTTTCACATTTTTGGCCATTTTAAAGTACGTCGGCCTCCCCCCTGCCCCCATGATCAATGTTGGAAAAAGTGGGTTGAATTTTCTCTTTTTAGTCATTCACACAACATTGAAATGAGGGTCCGCGGTTTAGGTATTGAATTAAAAAGAAAATTAAAACCATCTATATGCCTATGGAATATATAGGGTATTCCCGGCCCAAAATGTCCTTATATTAGTTTGTGGAACTACGATGCAACAGCAGTAGATCTGAAACAGGTTTCAGCATCCAGGAATAGAAATAAAAAATCTTCGCTAATAACGTCTGATACTTTAGGTACGAACCCAAAATCTAGCGTTAAAGAAAGAACAATTTGAAGTGACGACACCACTGAATCACTGACGACAGCGATATTTCAAATTCCAACTGATCCAGTTATCCTTGAAAATATAAAATTAGGTAAGAATTCACGAGGATTAATAGTAAAATATTTTACGTTTGGTAAAATTTCGTCAATTTTGGAAAAATTTATTAAATGAGATTTTTTAGTAAAATTTTGGTAAATGTTTTAGAGAGTTTGATAATTCAGTAATGTTTTATTTTTTTGTAAAAATTCGTGTTTGAATGTTATCTTGTGTAATATAGATGCTACTAGTAATAAAAGTTCAATGTAATTTTCCCGATTCCCGCTACTAACCTCCCAACAAGTGCCGGTCTTTGCTCGAAGATAGTCTATGGAACATGGTATAAAATGACATACTATCAATATGTGAAATGTAATATCCTGGGGCACCTTTGGAGGGGAGGTTACAGTATGTTGGATAGAGGGTTATTTGAAAGTTTGAGAGGGACGTATTTGAAGAGGGGCCTTATTTGAATA